AAATTAAGTATTTTAAAAAAATTTTATGTAGACTGGATGCCTTGTAGTGGAGAATAGAACTGCAAAAAAAAAAAAAAAAAAAACCCCACAAAAAAACTGCCCTGATTATTTCTGTGTACCTACTTAATGAATATGTATGAATAGTGAAATTCCCCAGCTTGGAAAATACCAGCTTTCTTTGTTCTGCTACTTCAAGCCTCAGCTTAGGTTTAAAGTACAGTAGTTTAGAAGAAAAAAAAAAAATGAGAGAAAACTTCTGGTCTCCCTTTAAGTGAGAAAACAGATATCATGTAGTAATTTCTAGTAGTTGTACAATGTTTTCTCAATATATGGTCCCTTGCCTTTTCTTTTAGTTCAAAAACAGTAGCTCAGGGACGAGAGCAAAATCTTAAAGTAAGAAAGGAAAAATTCCCCCGTCTTAATAAATGCAGCAGGGGACAGGAAGGAATGAGGCCGGGGGGCGGGGGGCGCGGAATGCCATGGCACATGGTAAAGGGATTCCCGAGGATACCACAAAGAATTCCACAAGCCTGGGCTTCCTAAGGAAGATGACTCTGTTACAGATTGAAGCATTTAATGCAATTTAATGAAAATAAGCAGATACTATAGACTGCAATGCACATATGTGTTACAGATTGGAGCTTTTCATCAGTAACATAATAACTCCCCTTAGGTTTTAGGGCCCTTTCCCAAACAGACACAGACACACATGTGATAGGGGTGGAAAAAGATGGCTTTGCTTTTGCGAGATAAGTAGTTGGATTAAGCTGATCAAAACAGAGGTTGTCCATTTTGTGTCTACTGGGGAATTTCTGGTCTCCTGACAAATCTAATGTACTTTTCTTTTTTTCTTGGTAGAAGACTATCTTAAGTATATGAACTATATAATGTGTGAGTCCATTAGGAAAACTGAGCAATTTCTCCATGTATGTGGAATAGTTTTGTTACGTAATAAATCTATTGTACATTGTCTGGGTATTCAACCCACATAAAGAGAAATGTGAATTATGTTTGCACACATTCCCTACAATAAATAACTGTCCCAGATGAGTAGGTATGCCGGATCCCGGAGGGCCATGTCGTAATTAATACTGATGGTGAAACCAGAGTCAGGAATTTTTTTAGCAGATGCACTGGAACGCGTTTCCAGCTGGGCCTCCCAGGCTCACCATAGGTGGCACGATACAGGTGCGACCCTTATTGGTGGGAAGGAACTCAGCAAGTTTGACACAATCATCTAGACCAGGGGTCAGCAAACTTTTTTCTTTCACTGGCCAGTAGTAAATATTTTAGGATCTGTAGGAGTGATGTTCTCCTGCCAGAACTCCTTAACACTGCTGTTGTGGGCTGGCAGTAGCCACAGACAAATACATAAATGAATGGCTATAGCTGAGTTCCAATAAAACTTTATTGAGATACCCCCCCCCCAATTTAGACATCAAAAAAAAATTAAGGAGTTGGGTGTGAATTTGTTCATGAATTTGAGTGTCCTTTTGGATCTATGTATTTTTAGTTCCTTTATTCCTTTTACACATTTCTAAACTGTTGATGTAATCACATTGAAATGTTCTTTGTTCTAACCTCGGAAGTTCCTTTGTTGAATGCCTTTAATTAAATAAAATGTGTATACCCTATTGTATTCTAGAACGTTTTAATGAAGGCTGATTAAGTTGGCTGCAGGACAAAATAGAGTTAAATTAGGTGAGAAAAATGAGTCATGGGGTTATGGTAGGAAAAAATAAAAGGAAATGCAAAAGGAAGAGATGCGCAGAGGATGACAGGTCATAAAATTATGTTCACATTCTAGCAGCGAACCACGTATGCTTCTCAAAGCTGTGTGAACAGCCACTGTGAAGAAAGAGAGGAACACAGTCAGGAAACACGGGTCAGAGAGTTTTCCCGTGAAAACAAGGGGTGAACTCTCATTCGTGCCAGTGGCAAGGAGAGTGGAAGACCCCTAGTTCTGACACAGGAGAGAAATTGTCCTTGTGGTCCCCACCATGACAACTACGGTAATGTGCTTATGACTTATTGTACTCTCAAAAGTATATTTCCAATAAACTCAATGAATGGGTTTCATGGCACCTTAATTGAGACTTTTGGTAAAAGTGTTGATTATATTATTGCTTAAATGTGACTATTTTCAGGAGAGTCTTGGTGTTACTATAACGAATCTCTAGTGGGGCAGCAATAAAATGTGTTAAATAAAGTAAAAGAGAGGGCTAGGGATGAGAGCAGTAATTTGAATAGAAGCCCACCTTCAATGTACTGAGTAATGTAGTTCGGAAACCATTAGAGGCCAAAGAATCTTTGAAAAAGAAATTAGGGAAAGGACACAGAAAAATGAACATGTTCTTTCCTATGGTATGTGCCTTCTTTGGCCCAAACATTAGGCAGAAGAAATGTTCCCTGTCAGCCCAGCCTGGGACTGGTCTCAGGTTAATATTAAACGTGGGGTTTGTACCCAAAGAAAACACACAGAAAGGAGTGGAGACCGTCCAAACCTGAATTCAGCGCGACACCAGGAAAGTGGCAGCAGGCGGAGGAGCCATGGTGAGCAAACATACTCAGGCCTGGAGTCTTCAAAACACCCAGGGTTATCTTTTTCAGAGATATTTTTTTCTCAGAAAAGATGATCAACTTGGTAGTAACAGACATGAAATCTACAAAGCAGGTGCAACATACACAATATATGTATATCCATATATATGAAGTTAAAGAAAAATAAAGCAAGATCTCTATCATAAAATATAAAAACATTATTGAATCTGAAATTGTTTTCTGTTTGTAGGTAACTTGGATGAAATTGTAGCAGCCACCCTGGTAGGGTGAGCTAACATTTACTAGCCGGGGTCGGGGGGCGTGGATTTCGTTTTATATTTACACTTTTAAGTGCGGTTTGGAAGCCTACGGACTCTGACCCTGAACCTCAGGGGTGTTGAGCAGCCTTCTTAAGGCCTGGCCTGGGGACAGGCCCGCCCACCACAGTTCTCTTCCTGGTGGGACAGCACTGTGGGGACCTGCACGAGGACCAGCCATTCCATCTCTCTGGGACCTCGGGCGCGGTGCTGCTCTTCTCTATACTTCGGGCCCCACATCCACAAGATGCAGGTAGCAGCACCTGCCTCATAGGAACAGAGTGAGGATGAGATGACGCCCGTCAAGCCCTTCACTGGAGCTGGCTGAACTGCCGTACACCAGCGTTCCCTGTCAAATCCCTGCACTTGTACAAAGTCACGGGATCGAATGACAAGCACATAGCAAGTACTCAACAAGAAATTATCACAATCCACGCCAAGCAAAATGGACATGTTCAGAACAAGACTTGTTGGCTACATGCATCACTGTCATATTCCTTGTATGAAAAAATAACTATAGGAAATAGCCCCGTCCACCAAAAAAAATAAATAAATAAAAAATAAAAAAGCTAAAGAAGAAACGATATTTCCTACCATTAGAATTCTTTATTTCAAATTTGTTTGATTATATTCCAGAAAATGAGGGATTAAGTTTACTTCCCTAAGCTATGTCTAATAAAAGCTTCGCATCCAAATGCTCATATTTAATTAACAGCTAATATTTCTTTCACTAAATGACATAATGCTTCTTTATAATTTACAAAATCAGTTTGAACCTATATTTGCTTGGCCTCCCATGGGTGCCAGCAGCCTGCCTACAGCACGTTGTGGCAAGCAACGGATTTCACCAAAGATTGTAGGGAGAGATGCCCCACTTCAAGTAAATGTTGATAAAATATATTCTGAATTCTTCTTACTTTTACCCCTTCAGGCTCTCCTGTGGATCAGCGGACTCCTTCCTTCCTTCGCAAAGCCCTAAAAATCCTTCCCATTTCACTGAGATTCTCCCCTCAGTTTAGATAATCTGCTCAGGAAAACAAAACCCTGCAATCGGATAATTTCCTAAGGGAGCTTCCTTGGAAAACAGCTCAGCCAAAAGCAAGAGTTGAATCCCTTGCTTTGACTGCCTCCGCCCCCACTACTTTGAATGGTCCTGGGCGCTCCCAGAGCGGCTGCCGCTGCGCCCCCTGTGAGAGAGCGTGTGACCACGCTCTGCCTTGCAGGCCCGCTGACTGCAGCAGTCGCAGGCAGGGCGGGTGCTGCTCCCTTCGGTGCTGCCGGCCCCGGGGCCCAACGCCGCCAGCGCAGGCGGAGCAACGGGTCAGGTAAGAGGAGGCCAGCGGAGAAGATGCTCACGGCTGACTTCCAGCTGAAACGCCTTCCGCAGCGAAGTTGCTCTGCTATGCATGTGGCTGGAGAGTAAGTAGTACAGCAGTTTATTTTCTTCTTTTAAAAAGTACACGGTTGATTTAATGTATATTCATGTTTCAAGATCCAGCCTATGGTGTGTCATCTGTTTTGACAAGTCTATCTATAGAGCATAGTGTATGTATTATATTCCCTCTGTCTCTCCCCTCTGGCATATCTGGCTGTTGCTCTGTGACAAGAAAGGGGGGTATGATGATCTCATTTCCTTGATGCTTTGTTGTTGTCTCATCAATTATTTTTCTACCTTGACTATATCTACTCTTCTCCAAAAACTTATTCCCACATGAGGTCCTTTCTCAACCCTTCCTTCCTTTGCCTCCTCACCATCGCCGGCCTCTCAGATATATGTCCCATTATTCTTTTTTTTTTTTCCCCAGTGAAACAATTTATTACCAAAGCACAGTGGTGCCAGGCATAGGAAGTGTCCCGCTGAGGGGCCGGCTCAGCCCCGTCTGCGGGTTGGGGACCTTCTCCGTTCACAGGCCCAGCGGCTGCGGGCGGAGGGGAAGGGGCCGCCAGGGGGAGGCCGTTCACGGTACGTGCAGCCCAGCTGCCAGGTTCCCTGACGCTCATCGGGACTGACAAGCAGTATCTTTGAAAGAAGTGGCGGCGATGCACCTTCGAGGGATCTTTCTGGAAGCTCATCTACAGCGGGCTCGGAGTCACAATTCTTCTCACTTTTTCCTTTCTATTTCAGACTGGGAGTTGACAGCTCTAAGGCGCCCTGTGGAGGTCCAGGGGGTCGGAGGCCGACGCCCGCAGCTTCTTCAGCAGGGCTTCCAATTTGCCCCTCAGCACGGCGCAGGGCGGCTTCTCGCCGTCCCTGAGCGCCACCACCGCCTTCCGGTTGTCCTCCGGGGACTCCTGCGGCGCCTCTGAGGGGCTCATCCGGCAACCGCGGTGTCCCACGAGGGCCTCCGGGCCGTCAAGGAGCTTCTGTTTCAGCTTCACGAGAGCCTCGACGTCGAGAAGGTGTTTTGTCCACGGCAGGTCCCGCAGATCCACTCCAGCAGACAGTAGCCCAAGGTCGGGAGCTCACTGCGGCGGAAGGGGCCGCATCCCTGGTGCGCGTCCGTGCGCAGGAACTCCAGGTCCCGCTCACGGGGGCTCCTGCTGCCTTCCACGTAGGCCTCATGTCTGCCCGCCGGGGAAGAGCGGAAGGCGAAGCCATAAGCTGCCAGGGTCACCTGGCTCAGGTCATCTGGGTTCACAAAGATATTGTCAGCCGTCACATTGCCGTGAACATACTCATTCTCGTGGAGGAACTCCAGGGCGTCCAGCCGCCGGTGGGCCATCTGGAACACAGACAGCATGGGTATCATAGGCTTCCGGTTGTCACTCAGGGCCGACTGAAGGCTCCTCCCCAGCGTGGGCAACACCGAGAACCTGTACGTGTCCTGGTGAACGACCCAGGTGGGGATGGCCAGCAGGGGCGTCCAGGACAGCTTCTTCCACTTGGTCACTTGCAAAGGCTTGGCCGCCCGCTGGAAGAAGTTCTGCTCATTGAACAAGCGCCCATCCTTGGCATCTAGTTTAAGTGAAAATCTTTGTTTCTGGGCACTTGACTCGCTGATGGACTCACGGGTAGAGAAGGACTCAGCTCTGAAGGATGACACAGGCGGTCTGACCAAGGTCTGGGACTCCTCAGGCTTCTCTGTAGACAAAGGCTTTCCGCAGTAGGGGCAGAATTTGAACGCTGTTTTCTAATTTATTATTCCATTATTCTAATACAAACTTTCTTCTCCCCAACCTTTTCAAAAGCTTCACGCAATCGAACAGATTGAATCTGATGAGACTGGTTACTGGTTTGGCTTTACAGATGGCGATTTTGATAAGTGGTTGCTTCCCAATTGGTTTGTCACCAGATGAACAAAACTGTATTTAAGGCAGATGGGCAAAAGCGAACCAAACCCACAGTTCGGCTTGCGAAAAAAATCTCTATGAACAAAGATCTGTAATAAAGGCAAACCAAAGGGTTTTTTTTGTTGTTGTTTTTGGTTTTTGTTTTTTTTTCCTCCCCGAACTGCCACCATGTGAAGAAACAATTTATCACCCGTTTCCTACTGGTATGAAGCTTAGTTGTTTATATTGTGCAGTGCAGATAAGTTATCATAAAAATTTTTATCTGACTTTTCTCAAACTAGCCTTGTGAACTTGGGTATGGGAGGGGGCAGGGGGAGCCTGTGGGAGGATGTGCGTGAGAACACAGGGCAGAAGTGACTCTTGCCTCAGCGATCACACTATGGAGCACACTAAACCCTCAGCACTGGCATTGTCTACATGCATGTGCCTGTGAACACACTCGCCCACCGACCGCGGGCCCAGGACTTTCCTGTGGCCAATGGAATTCAAGCCTGAAACATATAATTCTATGCTAATCACTATTTTTTTCTTTACCTACATATATTAACCAAGTATATTGTTTTTCATGGAAGTTTCTAAACTATTACAAAAATAATTCAGGAATATGCCTATTAATTATTATTCAAAATAGTTTCCATCTTTTCAGCAGTTTAATTCATTTTACTGACAACCATATCCAGAGCAGCTTGTCCTTACATAAAAAGCTCAAATTTGTAAAAAAAAAAAAAAAAAAAAAAATTCTCTTTTATAGTTACCAATATTTCTATAACTTTCAAGACATTCTTGGGTACGTTTGCTTTTTATTCCAAAGAGTTAAATGGAAGTGAAAATTACTTCCAAGTAATAACTTTGACACGAATTGTTCTTTTTCTACTCTCAAATAAGCACCTGGAATTCAAGCTCAGAATAATCCACTTCACTTCCCTTGACTTGCTTTTCCTGCCCTGCTTATAGGTAACAGTATCTGGCCCTCCCACTCCACGGGATTCCCTTCAAAATATGGACTCTGAGGTCTCGTCTGGTGACAATTACTAAAGACAGAGCATCATGGCATGAAAAATTCCCAAACAGCTAATTACAATCGGACAGAGAGCAATAACGTATTCCAGAAATGTGGCAAAATGCCTGCATTGCTGATAGAGAACCCGGAGGCATTTGATGAAGACATAAAATTGTATTTAGGAGCTGCCCCTCAACTTTATTGACCTCTGCTTCTTGAGAATGAACACTGCTGCTGACTTGCTAGCTTGGCTTCGTTCCGCTTTTTAAAACCTCCTTTCCCATAGACATCTGCGTCGAATGCCCTGCACTCTTAAGCACCAACATCATTGTCCTAACCATGACTGTAAACAATAGAACTGAAAAAGGAGAGACTCGACCCCTCTGTTTACACGACTTACTTCATGTGAAGCATAGCTCTTGTATTTTGTTTACCGAAAGCTAGTGGCTTAAGGATAAAATAAAGAAGCTTCTTGCCTTTGAGATGAAATTGTATGAACATGTTGAGCCTCTGCTAAACTCAGGCTTTCTAATCAAGCTAGGAAAGAAACTCCTTCTGGGGATCACATTTTTGGCAACACTGTAGGCCTCCCTCAACCGGCGGCTCTGGTGCTGGAAAACTTCTGAACGAGAAATAGCATCACTTAGGGTTTGCGGCCTGGGGCCAGTTTGTGCCAAACTCCTTGTCTTCATAAATATTTATGAGTGGTCTCTGCCATCTCATTAGCATTTCATTCAAAGACAACAGGTGCAGGCAATGATTGCTCAAGCTAGGCCAACTAACGTTGTCATTGCGTTCCAAGTTTTACATTTAGAGAAATCTGTAGACGGTAGTCTTGGTGACTTCTGGATTTATTCATTTGATTTTTTATAATGTTGGTTGGGTACTTCTAAATGTGGGTAACCTGCTTCCAGTGAGCTATGGTCTAGCTTGAACAACAGACACTGAATGAAGGATAATGCAAGTGATCACTTAATTATGTTCCTGAAAACTGTCATGAAAGAAATATGGAATCACCTCTAAGTGTGTATCACCGGGCAATCTGCCTCCTGCGGTGAAAATAAAGGCACCTGGGACTCACAGGGCATGTCAGGTTCACCAGGGCAAGTGCAGGGGAGAGGGACAGATTTGTCCAGAGAGCTTGAGATGCCCAGATGAGGGCCTTGAGGCAGGATGGCACTTGGTTCCTGCCACAAACAGAGAGAAGGCAAGCGTGGCCAGGGGAGGGGAAGTCAAGAAGGGAGCAGTACAGAGTGAGACTAGCAGAACAACCTGAGGTGAGATCTTAAAGCGTTTTAGAGGCCACGCTGAAAGAGCACTCATTCATCTAATACATGCAACGCTAGATCTACCAAAGACCCAGGCTGCACGAGGGTCCAGCGCTCTGGGGATGTGGCAGTGAGCGAAAAAGCAAAACCGAAAAGCCGGATTCTCAGACGGCTTAAATACCAGTGGGGAGACATAAAATAAACGGATGAATATTAAGTAGGTCAACACGGCTATGGAGAAAAATAAATAGGGTAAGGGAGAGAGGAAAAACCTAACACAGGAGTGTTATTTTACTTAAGGTGTTCAGGAAAAACCTTATTATATGGGGCACTTAAGGAGGGAATTGAAGGATGTGAGATATGAGTAAAGCAGACACTTGAGAAAAGAATCTTTCATTAAGCGAGAGTCTTTAATCTGGACTTTCACTTAGAAAGCAGGTAGTCCCTGAACTTGATTTAGAAAAAAGTTTAAAATATTACCCTCATTAATCTGTAACTGAAATTTAATTCCCTTATTTTGAATTTTATAAAAAACCCACAAAAATCCTAGTGGCAATTGTAATTTTGTTGGCCAAACAATTTACAGATATTTTTATTTTATATAGCAGTGTTCAGACGCCCTGAAAACCACTTACATTCACTACTACTTCCACATTACAGTTATTGGTAGACCTTACCCTAGATCGGGTCATTCTGATGAATTTATATAGAAGTATGTATGTTATCATGAAACATATGTAATTTAAACTATTTTGATAGTATTATTTCAATATAATTGGATACATTCATAATCCTGTAAATTTTGTGCATTGGAAAACAGCGTTCTTGGACCGGTGCTTTGGCTTCACCCTGTGCTGCTGGGCTAGATGGCCAGGGGGCCCTGGGGAGCAGGGCAGGTTAAAAGGATAAAAACCCTGTTGTAGGAGTGACTTGGTGCATTCAAGGGACAGTGTAGAGGCCAATGGGGAGAAAGCAGAGGTAGCAAAGGGGGTGCGGGTGGTAGAGGGTTTGGTAGGAAAAGAGATGAGGAAGGTAGAGACCCAGAGCAGCAGATGGGGATTTGTATACACACAACGTGAAATAGGTTTTCAGTAAAAAAATAACATAAAATTGAGAAAATTCACAAAACCTGATGATAAAAAAATAAATTACTTAAAAACTAATTAATACCCAGAAAATTCTACCCAAAGGGGATAATAGCCTTGCTCCCTAGGAGAGCCATGGAAATACTTTGCTTTCCTCCGAAGCACTTTGCTTGTTAAATCCAACATTTCAGGCTCAGGGCTGTGCTGTACTTTATCAGTGGAAAACTGAACCGTGTGAATTAGAACCCTATCTAGAAGCAATTTCCTTCCCTGCTTTCAATTACCTACTACATGCTGAGCTTCCTAAATTTGCATTTGCTTTTCTTCCCAATAAATTTGCCTCCTTTTGTCCTGTCTTCATTTATTTTACATCGGCACTATCAAAGTTTCCATGGGTAAGACCTGAAGTTCCCTGGATGCATTTACTGTCCTGTGTACAAGGAAAGAAAGCAGATGTGTTTTTATCAGCTCTGCCATTGTGTGCGCCAGGCCCGCCTGGCCTTCACAGCCGGCCCTGGAAGCCCCTTCCTCCCAGCTCCACGTCACATGTCGCCCCCAGCGTGGACTCCAGTGCATGTGTGTTTCTTGTGACAGCTGAAAAACCTATACCAGAGCATAACGGGGTTCATTCCCGCTTCCACCAGCTTCCCTAGGTTAGTTCCTTAGCATACCCATCGTTTGTTTCTTCACCGGCTTCTCTTCCTCTAGCTACGCAGATACTGGTTTTAACTGTTGTTGTTTTTAATAACTAAATCTAATGTTCTTTCTGCTATTCTTCCAATAAAACAGTTGTCCTCTTAGATCTCCATTAAATTCAAAGCTGTAGGAGTCTCTTTATGTCATTTTAGATTTTTTTCTTGCCATGTGTTTGGTTTGTTTTTCTCAACTTGCTTGTTTGATACAGTCATTGTTTGATTAGCCAATATTTAGTAAAACTGTTTACTGAAGGGCTTTTTTTTTGGAGAGAGGAATCACTTTTAAACAGAGAGAAATGAAAGAAAGGATCATGATTTGCCAGGAGACGTTACTCAAGTTTTCCCTTGTCAGTAAAAATTTCGAATGGACATCACAAAATTGAAACACCAGCTTGAGGAACTCAGACTTGGCCATAATAATTGCTCAATGATCGTTCTGTTCTGTTTTCATTCACTTGTCAAATATTTGAGTCTTTCCTAGATACCAGGCATTGCAGTAGATACTTGGGGACAGAGGTGACACTGATTGGATGACTTTGTGCCTTCATGGAACTTGCAATAGAATGGGTCAGTAGGAAATAAGCAAAATTGTAAATAGTATACTTATTTGTTATAAATTTTTAAATCTCTCAAGATCGAGAGTGTGGTGAAGTATTTAACAGGCAAGCAGCCTGACTTCTCAAAGCAGATGCCGACCATGTGGACGCCCGGAGAACGCGTGCTGAGTGCCTGGGTTGTAGGAGCCCCAGAGAGCCTTCGGGGTGGTGGCTTGGCATCTTCGTACCTGACGGTGAAAGTGGAGAGAACAGTGCTAAGAGGGGAGGTAGAAGAGATGGGCAGAGCCAGATCATGGTGGGCAACGGAGGGCATCTTAAACATCTAGGATTGTGTTTGCAGGGGAAAGGGGAAACAAAAGATTTATAGCATAAAACTGATGTACGTGATGTGTGTTTTATAACAGACATGTCCTGAAAATGTTATGGAAAACGAATTTAAGAAATAGAGTAAACATTGGTATTGTCTTTATAGAAATGATTTCAGTGAGAGCTTTTAGCAGTGAGAAAAGAGAGGAGGTTGCCGGCTTGGGCAACAGAAGGGAAGCATGAACCACACATCCTGGTGGTTGGTTGTGTATCGGATGAGGAAGAGACAGGAGTCATGATGAGTCAGAATTTTGGATTAAACACCAGGACGGGGGGATGTTTTTGAGGGGAAGCAGATGATTATGATCTTAATTCGAGACATGTTGTGTGTGGGATATTGGTGAGAAGTTCAAGTGGAGATGACAAAGGGCGAGATGGATATATGAACCCTGCTCTGAGCAGTATGGGTCTGGGACAGCAAGAGAACACAGAGCGCAGGACAGAGAACCAAGGGTGGCTCTGCAAATGGCAGGCCTGGGGAAGAGACTGGGGAAGAGTGTAGACAGTCAACATTCAGAGTTGATGAATTGGCGGATGCATGAAAAGACCTCCATCTTTTGCCAGGACTTGGTTGAATCCAGCTTCGTGTGCAGGGAATGGATTTGGCCTTGGGTGAGTGACTTCATTCCCAGGGAAGACTAACGGCTGTCTCATGAGGGGGCTCTAGTCACTTGACCTGTACAGTAACCACATGGCTGGAGCGCACCCCTGAGAAGTCTGGAGGCCCATGTGATCCACATGACATTGCTAGTCATTCTTTCTGTCAATATAAGACCCAGATGTGGAGCTTCCTAAAAAAAAGTGGAAACATTTAACTCATTATTACTCCAAGTTTCTTCTTACCAGAAGTCTTGGTAAGTCACTTCGGGGCAGGTAGGGGAGGAGGGAGAGAATACCGAGATAAACCAAAAGTGAGGGCTGATTTGGAGAAGCCTCTAAGCCACCTATGTCTTTAGTGAAGAACAGGTTCTCTCATGGGGAGGGCAGAAAAGAGCAAACTCACTGTTCTCCCTGCTGTATCACCCTACATAGTCAGCTCTGCCTCCCTTTGGCATGAAGAGGATCAGAGCGAGCAGAGCCAGTGAATGCACTGCCAGGTGGGTGGGTTGAAATCAGCAAAATGCTGCACACGGTATTGCCTGATCTGTCTTTCCTTTAACTGTAGAGCTAGTCTGAAGGCCTAAAATTTAAGTAGGAATACAATTTTAATAAAATGGTATCTCTGTTATCTTCCTACATCCCCCCCCCCCTTTTTTTCCTTCCCTAAGATAAGGCACTAGCAATTAGTAAGGATTATGGGCTGGCAGAAAGGAGAGGTAGTAGAGACATCCTCAGCACCAATGAACTTGGAATCTACTAGTACTTATACCCGAATGATCAAAGAACAAAGGAAAAACAGTGCCATAAATGGATCTGAAAACGTGGCATAGATACTGGAGGCCTTTGCCAGCAATGCAGGGAATGGGAATATTCGTCAAGTTTGTGAGCTTGAGGACATGTTGACTCTTGGCTATGCAGATGTAGATGGTTGTATAATCTGCCCAGAATGGGTTAATGTTAAATGATCAAGGAAAATAAGGGATGGATGAAGGCAAGAATAAGAGTGATAAGTTAATTATATCTCAGCCCCTTGTTTAATGTTCAGCACCTCGATGGGAACATGCACACACAAACACCTTCGTGTGTGATCCTTAAGGATTTACATTACCCAGGTGATATCTTTTAGATTGATTAAACTGTAGTGTTTTTCACCATAGCCTTGATTTGTTTGAACTACTCGGATATGTTGGAGGGATGAGAACTGGAACCAGGGGTACGCCAGGAGAATGGCAAACAGGTGAACCTAGACATGGCCTCCTCCGCTCCTTCCACATTGGCTTACGGAGCACGCCCCACCTGACGGGCAGCGAGCGGGGATGGAGTGTGATCGGTGCCGGGGGGTGCGGCATCCGGCATCATCGCCAGAACGTCACGTGCGAGCAGAGGCCTCGTTCAGGCCGGGAAGGAGACTCGTCTGAGTCCGGGCTGGGAAGAGAGCGTTTCTGGGAGAAGGAACAGTGTGAGCAAAGGCGCAAGGCCAGGGACAAGTTCTGTCTGTTCAAGAAGAGCAAGGAAAACTGCCTTCTCTACTCAACACGTCTTGGATATATGTTATTGTTGTTGTTGTTTTCTTAAAACTGATTTGCTTTTTAAAGCCACTGTCTTAGGGGACATAAACAATTATTTAAGTAAGACAGAGATTAATTTTTGTATAAACTGATGTGACAGATTGAAGCTGTACTACTATTTCTTACATAGGCAAATATGAAAGATTGTTTCTTTTTCTAATTTTATAATTCCGTTCACGGTGGTCCTAAAATGTTCCATTGAGTACCCATTCAACATTCATTCATCATCATGAAATCAAATGTATGTCTATTTCTGCAGTTCCCTTAAAAGTGATTTATTCTCAGGGCAGCTCTCTGCAAAATGAAACATTCTTTCATCCCTGTAAGTACAGAACAATGAAGTTCTATGCACCTTGAGTGCAGTTGCGGCTGTTTTTCGGTCCTGTGAAGCCTGGGAAACATGCTGGGCGGTGGGATAAGGAACTCACTATGCATTCGAAACTGAAGGCTTCCCTCGCAGAGCTGACCAGGTGCCTGGTGAGTGGTTTTAAGGTTTGATCAACCCCAAACTGTACACACTTGCCATCCCCTGCCTGTCTGCTTCACATGAAAAGAAATAACAACTTTCTCTTCCTGTTAGGCTAGCTGCTTAAAAATAACACATTCCAGCAAGGAGGGAGGGAGGCTACCAGCAACAGGACACATGAGATTTGCCAAGGGGGCCAGCATTTCCTGGCTCACAATCGCAGGAAAGGCTTTGCTCCATTATCAATGGAACCTGGATGCTTTGATAGGCAATTGTTTCAAAAGCTAAACAACATTTGCAGTCGAAATATTGTGTGGGTTATACAAGGCTCGTGTGCAGGAAATACGGCACCAGATGGACCAGACAATAGCCCTGTCTGAGGTTTTGTTCTTCACTAGTAGGAAAATAAAAACTCAAGAAAATAGCCATATACCGCTTTGCTCTCAATAAAGTCTCCGTTGTTTAAGAAAAGAATAGTGGAACTGTCTTGAACAGTACAGATTTCCTTTGCAATAATTGCTGACTTTAAAATGTACTGAGTTAAAATAGACACCACAGTCACTTTGGGTGAGGACGTTCTTTACTCAGCAACTGAATCTGCCATCGCCAGAGCAATTGGGAAAACTGGTCAGCTGGTCATAGACACACTGCCCCGCAGTCAGGGCAGAGCAGGGCTTCTAAACGGTGCTTGGTGCTTATGGGATATTACCTTGCTCTCTATTTTGAGTTCCTATGAGAAATAAATATGTGTATACACACACACACACAATGCATAATATATAGAAATTATATCGTATTGAATCCAGATTTAAAATATAAATATATATACAGTATATTATCGATGTCTCAGAAAATCCTTTAGCTATGATGATCTTTCTGAAGTGTGATCAGAAAAAGTTGTCTTCCAGGTAGGAGTGGGTGGAAAAGAAAGCTGCTCTTATCTTTAAGTGAGAGAAGACATGACTCTTTCCCTCTGAAGTGCTGTGGGACATGTGGCTGTCCTCAGGCGACGCTGGTCACCCGGCTCTGGGTCACTTTGGTCTGGGCGTCTGCTAGGCCGAGCCTCCATCCCGACCCCCGCACGACGGCTTAGCCGGTTCACGAAGGAAGCAGGCAAACGCGACACAGCGCGATCACAGGGCTTTGCCACGCTCTGCCTTTACCCTGAGGGCGTCTCTCTGCATAGCTTCCCATGTGTAGAGAAGCAGAGAAAAAGGCATCCTGACTACAGAAAGTGGAGGTTAGACTAGAGGGCTATTTCACAAAAATGTAGACTCTGCTTGCAGTGACTCGTGAAAGGAGACAGACATCCCATCATGCACACAGCACCAGGAGCAGCCAGCTCCTGGCAGGGCCCAGAATATTCTAGGCCGCCTCCAACCTGGGGCTGCCACATGCCCTGCAGGTCTGCGATCCGAACAGTTCCCACTCCAGCTTAGGCCTGATTTCTTATTTTAGAGAAATGAAGTGACACAATCCTCTTTTGATTGGGGAAATTCCTCTGGTTGTGGTCTACAAGGAAGATAGGACGGAGACTCCTGGCAGGGAGATCCGTTAAGGGCTGTCGTGAAACCATGTAAGGAATATTTAGAGGGAAAAATCCAGTTCCATGTCCTATGTGCTTAGTCATGGAGTGAAAAAGTGATGAATATTCAATAACTCTATTTTCCATCTGGGTTATATTTGGGTGGTAATTAAGGTAAATCTTTGTCTTCTATAGTAGCCAATTTTACCTGGTTTAAAAATTTCAATACCCCCTAAACTGTGATGTTGGAAGAGTGTATTATAGCCATAAACAATGTACTTTGGTTTTAGCTGCGCAAAGAAATACTACACTACTACTTAGGAAGAAATCAGTGAGTGTGTTACTAACTGCTTTTAGCAAACTTTAGTTAGTAAACTAATTTTGATTTTTGCTTACATTTAATTGGTATATAGCATTTTAGTAATTTAGAGGTGTTCTAAAATATTAAAATTGAGGTACTTACTATAAATTAAAATCATGGGAGTTACAATACACTCTGATTTCCTCCTATTTGGGATTGAAAACCGTTCTTTAATGGAGCGAATAACAAAAGTGATAAAAAATAAATTGCATAATCTATTCATCCAATTTTCTCACCTATTTACTCATAACAATTTGCCATTCATACTATTAAAGAATAGGATTATATAATCACATATGATATGTATCCATGTGAGGTGGTGATTCATTAGATGGTTTTAATTACAAAAAGCAAAACAGATTTTTACAATCAGGATTTATCCAGGAAAACAGAAATTACCCTAGATCATTAAAGCAGGAAGGTATTTCATGCAGAGAATTAAAGGCTTAACTTTTTTTTTTTTTAAATAGTTGGTCAAACAAAGTTTATGAAAAGCAGTTAAAAGTTTTCAGGAAATAAGGACACTTTAGACGTGCCAAGAAATTACTGTTGATGATTTCAGGGGCCTTGGAATTAACTTTTAAAATCGATCATTTGATGATTTGCTTGATTCTCAGCAAAGTATTCTGGGGAATGCAGAATGGGCTAATTGTGCATTTCGGGTCTCTTGGGTTTTTACCGATTCACCAACGTTGCTGTCTAACATCCCTCCTTGTCATCTTAATCTTATATACAGCTCCCACTGCAAAAAGATAAAATGCTCCTCAGACCCAAGCTTCAAGGAAATTAATTTATATTTAAAATTCACCTAATTACAGTCACTTTTATTGGCTTAGAATAACTTTCCAAGGTGTTTAGCAGATGAAGAAACTTAATTGTAAAACTTTAAAATTAATTTTAAAAAATGAGAAAATCTTTTCTCTGTGTTGCCTTTATGTGAGTCAAGTGTTTGAAAGCCGCTCAAATGATAGGCTTGAAGTAACTTCTCCTCATTAAGAGGTGAAACTGCCCGGGTCAGGCCGGAAGACGGTTTTTGAGAGGGGGAGGGAAAGAGAGAGAGAGTGAGAGATGTAAAGGGGATTTAAAGTTTCAGAAGCCAGAGCTAGGAAAGGAAGAAGTCAGAAGTTTTTGGGGATAAAGGGTACTCTTTTGCCTTTGAGAGCTATATTTGAACACTTACTAGAGCATCCAATACTGCTAATGTAGAGGTAGCTACCAAAGCTAATGGACTAAGAGAAGCTTTGGAGTCAAAATGGCAACTCGGTATCGCCTCACACCTGCTAGAATGACTACTATCAAGAATAAAGGATAAGAAGTGCTGGTGAGGATGTGGGGGACAGGGAACCCTCCTACACCGTTGGCGAGATTATAATCCAACACTGTTTGGTGCAGCCACTATGGAAAGTAGTACAGAGTATCCTTTAGAAGTTAAGAATAGAGCCACCATATGATCCAGTAATTCCTATTCTGAGGATTTATCCAAAGAATATGAAAATAGCAATATGAAAAGATACACGCATACTTGTCCTTATGTTGATTGCAGCATTACTGACAACAACCAAGATATGGAAACAAACCTGTGTCCATCTGCAAATGAATGGATAAGGACGCGGTGCATATATACAAGGGAACACTACTTAGTCATAAAAAGAAGAAATCTTTCCATTTGTGACAACATGGATGGATTTTGAGAGTATGATGCAAAGTGAAATAAGTCAGACGGAGTAGGCCGAAACCGTCGGTTTTCACTCATCTGTAGAGCATGCAACAACAAAGTAACACATGAACTAACAAAGCAAAAACAAACTCCTAACGACAACAGACTGCTGGTTACCAGAGAGGTAGGGATGTGGGGGAGTGGGGCGAATTCCGTGAAGGGAATTGCAACTATAGGGAGGAAAAAATAATGGAGAGAAATGAGACTTTGGGAGGTGAGCACACAGTAGAGGATACAAATATTGAATAATAATGTTGTACACCTGAAATTTATGTAATGTTACCAACCAAACACCTGAAATTTATATAACGTTATCAACCAACATTGCCTCAATAAATTTATTAAACAGACAAAGGAAAGGCCATTCATTTGATGAAGAAAATTTCGTACGTCAGTGTATATGCCCATCCGAGTCTTGGAGGTGAGTGACCGGCCTGGATGGACAGAAATGGGTCTTGGGAGGCTGCCAAGACCCCTGGGGAATGACCCCAGGAGAGAAGACAGCACTAGCCAGGAATAAGGAGGTAGGAAATCATTTGAATATTAGCTCTGTTGGTTACTAGCAAGGAGGTTTTGAGGATATTACTTAACTTTCCCTAGTACAGGATTTTATATTGCGTTAACAGTGATTTTCTAGGTAAGCATATTCTTTATCATTGCTGCATATAAACTAACTTTTAAGAAAGTCTATCTGTCCTTTCTGCTTTTGAAATCCGACC